ATTGTTTTTCCCTTTCACTTTGGCCACTTTTAAGACAAGGATAAGAGGTCATACCTATGGCCAAATGAGAAATGTCTACAGAGGTGCTAGGAGCCATATCTGTGGCCAAGTGAGTATCTTTTGGGCCCTTAGCCTCTCCACCTAACCTCTGTCCCGTTTGGGCAAGTGTTACCAAGCTCTTTTTGCTCTGTCAATAGTTTCACCCCACTCCACCAGCAAGCTCCTGCCTGTAGCCACTCAGCTTTCTTGCTCCGTGGGCCAGGAAGCCTGCTGCTTCATGCTGGTTCTGCTGCCTCTGCTGCCAGTCTCTCTTCCATCTCAGCTCAGGGATCTTGGGTCCAAAGGATGTGCTCCAATTCTGGCTTTTCTTTCTTGGTGGTAGTGAGTTCCTCCTTATCACCTCTGGGATGGCTCATTTTAACCTTACCAGAGTGTCAAAACTGACCAGTCCCCATGTTAGGGTTCCATACATATTATTTGCATAGTCCCAGACCATCAAGGGTGCTATGTACCTTATTTACATTATTAGCAAGCTATCCAGTCCCTTTGGTGGGCCACAAGCACTTTACAATTGCACAGCTCAAACCAGTTATCTGGTGAGAGTCACAAAGACCATGGCTAGAAAAGTTACATTATGTTTTTGAGCTACTCTTGGCTCTTCTAGCCATTGGCCCTTTGATACTTCAAACAGTCTAGTCCAGTGCATTGGGCTGGCTTGCATGTTGCTGTGAGTCTGGAAGCTATGAGATGGGGGAAAATCTGGTTGATAAATATAGATATACATAACAATTCCATAGACTTGTGGGTATTACAAATACCAACAGAGTTACCCATGGTGGATGGACATGTTTCAGCAGAGCTTCCAGACTAAGACAGACAGGGAAGAAGGATGGGGCCATCCATTTCTCAAAGAATTAACCAGTGAAAACCTTATGAATAGTGGTGAAACACTGTCTGATATATTACTGGAAAACTTTATGAATAGGCATGAAACGTTGCCCAATATAGAGCTGGAAGATGAGTGCCTCAGGTCAAAAGACACTCAAGATATGACTGGAGAAGATATGCCTTCTCAAAGTAGAGTTGACCTTAATGACATAGATGGAGTAAAGCTTCAGGACCTTTATTTGCTGATGGGGCATGACTCAAACTGGAAAGAAACAGATACAAACATCTATTAATAATCAGAACATGGAATGTATGAAGTATGAATCTTGGAAAATTGGAAGTTGTCAAAAATGAAGTGGAATGCATAATGATGGATATCCTAGGAATTAGTGAGCTGAAATAGATCAGTTTTGGACATTTGGAATCAGACAGCTATATGATCTACCATGCTGGAATGACAAATTGAAGAGGAATGGCATGACATTCATCATCACAAAGAATGTTTCAAGATCTATCCTGAAGTGCAGTGCTATCAGTGATAGGATAATATCCATATGTCTACAAGGGAGCTCTGGTGGTATAGGGCCTAAAGCGTTTGACTGCTAAGCAGAAGGCTGGAGGTTCCCTGGGAAGGAAGTCTGGGCAATCTACTTCTGTAGTGATACTGTCTTAGAAACCCAGGGAGGGGTCGCTTTGAGTTGGCTCCAATTTAATAGCAGTGAGTTTGTTTTTGGTTTTCCAAGGAAGACCAGTTAATACTACTATTATTTAAATTTATGCACCAACCATCAAAGCCAAAGGTGAGGAAATTGAAGATTTTTACCAACATCTACAGTCTGAAATTGACCAAACATGCAATCAATATGTGCTGATTATCACTGGTGATTGGAATGCAAAAGTTGGAAACAAAGAAGAATCACTGGTAGTTGGAAAATTTGGCCTTGGTGATAGAAAGGACACTGGAGATTGCATGATAGAAATTTTCAAGACCAACGACTTATTCATTGCAAATGCCTTTTTTTCAACAACACAAATGGTGGCTATACACATGGACTTCACCCAGATGGAGTACACAGTAATCAACTTGACTACATCTGTGGCAAGAGGCAATGAAAAAGCTCGATACTTAACACCAAACACCAGGCTACAGATAAACACATAAACATCTAGGAAGATCAGATGGGGGTCAGTGAACAGGAGTATACTCTAGACGAAGGATACATTCAGCACAGGCTAATCTTGCACAGATACCAGTGATACAAAACACCCACAATCCTTACAAAAACAACAGAATACAGACATAGAGTGATCCCTCACAGACACACAGACACTGTGGGAGAGAGATCCAATGAATCTACTGACTCAGGACCACAGTACTGGGGGACACCAGACTCAGTTGGCACAACAAAATACATAAAAGTCTTGTTCCTCGTCCTACATTGGTGAGTAGTGACTGGGGTCTTAAGAGCTTTCAAGCAGCCATCTAAGATGCAGCTAATGGTCTCCTATTGTCAGAAGTGAAGAAGAGTGCAAAAGGAAACAAGGTATTTGGAAGCAATCAGCCCTACGACATGATGGCCCTTGAGACCAGAAGAACTAGATGGTGCCAGCCTACCAAAGCCAACCACTCAGGAAAGGATCAAATCTGGAGATCCTGGATAGAGTGGGAAGAAAAACATGGAACAATATCCAAAAACTCAATAATGACCAGAATTACTGGTCAGACGGAGTCCGGTGAGACCCTCAATATGATGGTCCTGGGATACATTCTGGGCCTGGAATAAAACTCACTCCCAGGGGCTGGCTCTTAGTCCAATAGTATACAAGATGTACATGCAGACCACTCAACCTAGGGTGAAGCACCCACATACTCTATGGTAATGCATCCCTTGGAGCAATTGACCACGGGGCATGAGAGGAACAACACTCCCATGGAGGAAATGCAGGACACACAGGAGTGCATAAGTATGAGGGGCACAGGGGGAGGAGGGTTACTGAGCAGGGAGGAGAGGAGACTGGGTTAGGGGTGGAGATGGTAAATGGGGAGTGAAACTAAATGTACATGTAATGTTGAATGTAAAACAAACTCTGCTCTGTAAACTTGTACCTAAAGCACAATTGAAAAAACAATGGAAAAAAAAAAAAGCTAAAGAGAGAGAGAGAGAGAAAAAAAAAAAAAAAAAAAAAAACTCAATATCTTCAGCCAAAACCAGGCAAAGAGCTGACTGTGGAATGGACTATGAACTGCTCATATGCAAGTTCAAGTTGAAGCTGAAGGCAATTAAAACAAGTATGTGAGAGCCAAAATATGACCTTGAATATATCCCTTCTGAATTTAGAGACCACCTAAAGAATAGATTTGATGCATTGACCACCAATGACCAAAAACCAGAGGAGTTATTGGATGACATCAAGAACATCATCCATGAAGACAGCAAAAGGTCATTAAAAAGACAGGAAAGAAAGAAAAGACCAAAATTGATGTCAGAAGAGACTCTGAAACTTGCCCTTGAATGAAGAGTAGCTAAAGAAATAACAAGATTAAACAGCTGAACAGAAGATTTCAAAGGGCCGTTCAAGAAGACAAAGTCACCTATTGCAATGAAACGTGCAAAGACACAGAATTGGAAAGCTGAAAGTGAAGAACATGCTTGATATTTCTCAAGCTGAAAGAACTGAAGAAAAAATTTAAGCCTCGAGTTGCAATATAAAAGATTCTATGGGCAATATACTGAGTGATGCAGGAAACATCAAAAGAAGATGGGAAGAATACACAGATTCACTGTACCAAAAAGAATTGGTCGATGTTAATCCATTTCAGGAAGTGGTACATGATCAAGAGCCAATGGTATTGCAGGAAGAAGTCTAAGCTGCACTGAAGGATTGGCAAAAAATTGACGGAATACCCATTGAACTGTTTCAACAAATGGATGCTGTGCTGCAGGCACTCACTCGGCTATGCCAAGAGATTTGGAACACAGCTACCTGGCCAACTGACTGGAAGAGATCTATATTTGTAACCATTCCAAAAAAAACTGATCCCACAGAATGTGGAAATTATCCAACAATATTATTAATATCACATGCAAGTAAAATCTTACTGAAGGTAATTCAAAAACAGTTGCAGCAGTATACTGACAGAGAATTTCCAGAAATGCAAGCTGGATTCAGAAGATGACATGGAATGAGGGATATAATTGCTGATGTCAGATGGATCTTGGGTGAAAACAAAGAATTTCAGAAAGATGTTTACTTGTATTTTATTGACTATGCAAAAACATTTGATTGTGTGGATCATAGCAAATTATGGATAACATGGAGAAGAATGGGAATTTCAGAACTTAACTGTACTCACGAGGAACCTGAACATAGATCAGGAGGCTGTTGTTAAAACAGAACAAGGGGATACTGCATGGTTTACAATCAGGAAGGGAGTGTGTCAAGGTTGTGTCCTTTCACCATACTTATTCAATCTGTATGCTGAGCAGATAATCCGAGAAGATGGACTATATGAAGAAGAGCATAGCATCAGGATTGGAAGAAAACTCATTAACAACCTGTGATATGATGACACAACTTTGCTTGCTGAAAGTGAGGATGACTTGAAGCACTTACTGATGATTGAAGACTGCAATCTGCAGTATGGATTACACTTCAACATAAAGAAAACAAAAATCCTCACAACTGTACCAATAAACAGCATCACAATAAATGGAGAAAAAAATTGAAGCTGTCAAAGACTTCATATTACTTGGTTTTACAATCAACACCAATGGAAGCAGCAGTCAAGATATCAGGCGATGTATAGCATTGGGCAAATCTGCTGCAAAAGACCTCTTTCAAGTGCTGAGGAGCAAGGATATCTCCTTGAGGACTAAGGTGCGCCTGACACAAGCCATGATATTTCCAATCGCCTCGTATGCATGTGAGAGCTGGACAATTAATAAGGAAGACCGAAGAAGAGTTGATGCTTTTGAGTTGTGGTGCTGGCGAAGAATGCTGAAAGTACCATGGACTGCTAACAGAACTAAAAATCTGTCCTGGAGGAAGTGCAGCCAGAATGCTCCTTGGAAGCAAGAATGGCCAGAATTCGGTCGCGGAGGGGGGAGGGGATGTCGGTTAGTGCGAGATCCACTGATGCTGAGGAGAGGAGCGTCAACAGCAGCACCATGGTAGCTCAACAGAAGAACCTTGAAGGCTATGTGGGATTTGCAAATCTCCCAAATCAAGTATACAGAAAATCAGTGAAGAGAGGATTTGAATTTATACTTATGGTAGTAGGTGAATCTGGATTGGGAAAGTCAACGTTAATCAACTCGTTATTCCTCACAGATTTGTACTCTCCAGAGTATCCCGGTCCTTCCCATAGGATAAAAAAGACTGTACAAGTGGAACAATCCAAAGTTTTAATCAAAGAAGGTGGAGTTCAGTTACTGCTCACAATAGTTGATACCCCAGGATTTGGAGATGCAGTGGATAATAGTAATTGCTGGCAGCCTGTTATCGATTACATTGATAGTAAATTTGAGGACTACCTAAATGCAGAATCTCGAGTGAACAGACGCCAGATGCCTGACAACAGAGTGCAGTGTTGTTTATACTTCATTGCTCCTTCAGGACATGGACTTAAACCACTGGATGTTGAGTTTATGAAGCGCTTACATGAAAAAGTGAATATCATCCCACTCATTGCCAAAGCAGACACACTCACGCCAGAGGAGTGCCAACAGTTTAAAAAGCAGATAATGAAAGAAATCCAAGAACAGAAAATTAAAATATATGAATTTCCAGAAACAGATGATGAAGAAGAAAATAAGCTTGTTAAAAAGATAAAGGACCGTTTACCTCTTGCTGTGGTAGGTAGTAATACTATCATCGAAGTTAATGGCAAAAGGGTAAGAGGAAGACAGTATCCTTGGGGTGTTGCTGAAGTTGAAAATGGTGAACATTGTGATTTTACAATTCTAAGAAATATGTTGATAAGAATGCACATGCAGGACTTGAAAGATGTCACTAATAATGTACACTATGAGAACTACAGAAGCAGAAAACTGGCAGCTGTGACTTATAATGGAGTTGATAACAACAAGAATAAAGGGCAGCTTACAAAGAGCCCTTTGGCACAAATGGAAGAAGAAAGAAGAGAGCATGTAGCCAAGATGAAGAAGATGGAGATGGAGATGGAGCAGGTGTTTGAGATGAAGGTCAAAGAAAAAGTTCAGAAATTGAAGGACTCTGAAGCTGAGCTCCAACGGCGTCATGAGCAAATGAAAAAGAATTTGGAAGCACAGCACAAAGAATTAGAGGAAAAACATCGTCAGTCTGAGGATGAGAAAGCAAACTGGGAAGCTCAACAA